AGTTCCCAGCTCTACCAGAGGCTTCCTGTGTGACCTCTGACAGTCATTTAGTGCCATCATTCCCAATCTGTGAAATGGAGAGACTAGTACTTTGCTACCTCATAAATACATTAAAGATTGTGAAGCTCACAGATATGATAGAGTGGGCCATATAAGTACCCAAGATATCTAGATAACGTCAGTTAAAAAAAAAAAAAAAAAAAAACCTCAGATTTTGTCTGAGTTTTGTGCTCTGATCACTTTTTACCGTTTTCTTTGTATAGTCCTTTTCCCTTGTTTATGCAGGTTTTGTTTTTTGTCTTTCCTGATCCTTTGTGTGTGTAAAAATATTTAAGTATCAAAAATTAGTGGGGGGACTTCTAGTAATTTCTTAAATAGGCTAGATTTCAAGCTGGTAATGACCCTTTTATGTAGTCTGCATAGACATTAGCTATATAAACTTTAAGCTCTATCTTGGTCAGGGAGTTCTCTTTCCCTCTGTGCATGTGGAATGGAAAATGTCGCCATCCAGTTTTTTAACTCCATCTGTATTCCTTAGTCCTCTTTGACAAGTAGTCTAAACAGAACCTTCAAGGCATACGGTGAAGTGGAGGGTGCTCTGACCTGAGTGCCACTTTCAGATAACTACTATTACACCCTACTTGTAATAGTAGCTATCTGAAAGTGGCACTCAGGTCAGAGCACCCTCCACTTCACAGTATGGCTTGAAGGTTCTGGTTAGACTACTATAATATGTTTCATAATGTCCCTGTTCTCTTTACTTCATTGTGAAGCTGTTTCCCCACTATGGTACAATGTAATATGGTATAATGCCAGTGGAAATTCTGGGCCAGCTGCAATCTTCCCAATTTTAGCAGAACTTAATATTTCTGAATGTTTTAGTTTTTGGCCAGTTAGTCCTTAGCAATTCCTAGTCAAGAAACATTCTATCCAGTCCTATCTACAGTTATTAACTGACTCCACAATTACTTCCATTGTCACTTGAGTCTATGTGTGTGGAAGACTTGACTTAGTTTTCTTTAGGAGTTTGTGGGGAAACTTGTAAATCCCCTCTTTGTTGTGCAGCTCACAGAAAAGTGGAGTTCAGATTTTTTTTATATGTAATGAAATGTAATGTGTACATATATGAAGAGATGAGATCAAAGGGAAATTACGCCAATTATGGGGCAGTGGCAGTCATTGCATGGTAAGTTTCAGGGATGTTTCTATTAAAAGCCTGGTTTAGGGGGATTCCCCAGTTTCCCTAACCCTAACTTTACTACATTAGGGTGAGGAGAGGGTAATCCTTGAAATCAGTAGTCCCAAATAGCAAATTTACTCGTACCTTTCCTATAAATCTCTCTGAAAGAACTTTCTGTTCTGTTTTTACTCATTTTTCTGACAGTAGCAATTGGGACTCAAAGATTAATAAATCAATATACAAAGTCATCTGTGATTTTTTTTCTCCCCCCTCCCCCACCTTGAGTAGATAAAGCTGATCTAGTCTAAACTGTAGCTGTGCAAGTAGTTTATTATATACAAACCCTGCCCTGCATTTTTTAAATGTTTCCACCTCCTGAAAAATAATGGAACTGTTGGGTGGCAACAGGAAATAAAAATTTATCATGCCTTTTATAAGGAAATAAAAGTAGGAGGACTAGTCTTAAAGGGACACAACTTAAAAATCATACTTCTGTTAGAAAACTTTTTACCTACAAATGTTACAAGTAGTAGTGGAAGAAAAATAGGGGGACAGGGACACGCAAGGGGAAGAGACCCTTTTTCAATCCATTTACCTGTATGGATTTGACAACACTTTGTGAAGACTGTGATGCAATGATTTTTTTAATGTAAATTGGCAAGGATAGTTGGGGTAGATATAGGGTTCAGATATTTACAGCTTGCTTAGATTTCTGGTTGGTGATGTCTCATTTAAATAAATTGATAAACTGCCCAAATATATTAAAGGGTAGTGGGAAAGAAATGTTGCACCCCGTACATCATAACTGGGTCTGGGAGAGGTGGGACTATGTCAAGACAGTAGTTTTCCCTGGCAGGTAATAAGTACTATTGTATTTTGTAATTCAGTGTTGGGAGTGAAAGAAGTGGTTGAGATTTTACAGTTATTAGGCAGTCTGCCAGGCATGTGCAAGTTGTTGAGATGACACTTTACACTTATAGACCTGTCTAGTTTTGGGAGTATTACACTAAATTTAAGGATATATGTTGTTCAACACTTTCGTTTATCTTAGCTGCTGTTGAAAGCTAAAGATGGTTAGGTAGTGGGTTTCCTTAGTGTGGAGGTAGATATTTTTCTTTAAGCGGGAACAATGTTCCTGTTTTGAAAAGTGGCTTAATGGAGGAGGAGGGAAATCGTAGGTGAATCAAAAGTTGCATGTTCATTGCTTTCCAAAAGAGCCAGGAATATCAAAACTACTCTTTCAACCCAATAATGCATATCTTCATCAGTCGATCTCAGTGCACTCTATAAAGGAGGTAAACATCATTATCTCCATTTTGAAGATGGTGAAACTCAGGCATAGAGGTGAAGTGACTTGCCCATAGTCGCCCACTAGGCCAGTGGCAGAGCAGAAATAGAACCTTGTCTCCTGTCTGGAGTCCCAGTTCAGTTCTCTATCCAGTAGGCCACACTGCATCCACACTACAAGTGAATCTAGTTCGCAACATTGGCAGAAGAAAGCATTATTTTAGTAGGGTTGGATGACTTTGCTAAAAAGGTTAACATCTGGCTACATGTGTGTGCAGGGGTGGGAGATGCACCTTCTCTCAAATGGGTATTCATCACTGAACTGGTGTGTTTCTAGTGGGATCCTGCAGGTATCAGTTCTTGGCCCTATGCTATTAACATTTTTTATTAATGGCATGGAAGAAAACATAAAATCATCCCTGATAAAGCTTGCAGATGACACAGTTTGGGAGAGTGGCAAACAATGAAGATACCAAGCAATCCAGACAGTTCTATGAGATGGGCACAAGCAAACAATGGGTGTTTTAATGTCTAAATGTAAATGTATACATCTAGGAACAAAGATGTAGGCTATACTTATAAGTGGGGGGACTCTACCATAGGAAGCAGTATCTGTGAAAAAGATGTAGGGCTTGTGGTGGATAATCTGCTTCCAGTCCAGTGCTGTGACCAGAAGGACTAATCGGGAATCTCAAGTAGGAGTAGAGAGGTCATTTCACCTCTGTATTGGTCACTAATGTGACCGCTGCTGGTATACTTTATTCAGCTTTGATGTGCACAATTCAATGAGATAAATTGGAGAGCGATCAGAGAAGAGCCAGGAGAATGATTAAAGGATTAGAAAACATGCTTCATAGTGATAGACTCGAGGATCTCAATCTATTTAGTTTAACAAAGAGAAGGTTAAGGGGTGACTTGATTAATCTGTTAAGTACCTACATGGGGAACACATACTTGATAACAGGCTCATCAGTGTAGCAGAGAAAGGTCTAACACAATCCAATGGCTGGAAGTTGAAGCTAGACAAATACAGATTGAAAATAAGGTGTAAATGTTCAACTGAGAGCAATTAATCATTGGAATAACTTATCAAGAGTTGTGATGGATTGTCCATCACAGACTATTTTTAAATCAAGATATGCTCTAGAAATTTTGAGGAAGTTCTATGGCCTGTTAATAGGAGCTCAGACTAGATGATCCTTGGAATCAACTTGGAATCTGTGAATTTTCACCACCACCACCCCAGTCCTACACCTCTGGTAATTTATCAACATAATTGCACGGTGAGCAGTTTGGTATCACAAAAACTGGAGGGGGTTGGGTTAGTCTCTAGATTTCTTGGGATTGTCAGATAAAATCACCTATTCAGCCAAATAAAATAGTTCAGGTAAGAATATCCAGGTGATCAGCTAATTCATGAAAATTCATTGTGAAAAATTACACCTGAAATAGAAAAGGAGTACTAGTGGCACCTTAGAGACTAACCAATTTATATGAGCTACAGCTATTATACAGCTGTACATGATACATATTATACAACTATTATGTGCAGATTTTTGAAATATGAGCTATTATACTTCATCGGATGCATTCAGTGGAAAATACAGTGAGGAGATTTATATACACACAGAACATGAAAAAATGGGTGTTACCATGCACACTGCTTACATGTTCATGTTCTGTGTGTATATAAATCTCCTCACTGTATTTTCCACTGAATGCATCCGATGAAGTATAATAGCTCATATTTCAAAAATCTGCACATAATAGTTGTATAATATGTATCATGTACAGCTGTATAATAGCTGTAGCTCATGAAAGCTTATGCTCATAAACACCCATTTTTTCATGTTCTGTGTGTATATAAATCTCCTCACTGTATTTTCCACGAAAGGCATCGGATGAAGTGAGCTGTAGCTCAAGAAAGCTTATGCTCAAATAAATTGGTTAGTCTCTAAGGTGCCACGAGTACTCCTTTTCTTTTTGCGAATACAGACTAACACAGCTGCTACTCTGAAAGCTGAAATGGAATAGAATTGAAATAGAATTGCTTAAGATTCTTGTCTGCTAACAAGCTGTTATATCAGAATAAGTACTTACTTTTGAAATAGCATGTCTGTGTTCTCAAATTTTTCTGGCTCTAGGAATAAATGTATTGAGTGGGTTTGGTTACAGCTTCTTATGTAAATATTTTTAAGCAGCAGCAGACCTGGAAAGTTAGGTGCAACTAAATAGTCACGCCTTCATGCTCATGTATTTTAATATAGAGAACTCTTGATGCTTGAGGAAAGTTTGCAGTGAAGCATATTTGGGAGTTTTTCTCTCAAGACATTGCATATCCAACTGTTGTATACAAAAGTGACTTGTTTTAAAGGGATGTTCCTCAATCTTTTTTGGGATAAATTTTCCAAGTTTGAGCAGAAGAGGTAAGACTCTTGGATTCTCAAGTGCGATGGTGAGGTGAAGCAGTGCAGATTTTTGTCCTCTGTGCACGCACTTGCTTTCTTAATTCTAATATTGCTCTTTTATTCAGGCTGGTGGCAAGGCTGGAAAGGACAGTGGAAAGGCCAAGGCAAAGGCAGTTTCTCGCTCACAAAGAGCAGGACTGCAGGTAAAGTGGTGCTAAATCATGTATTACTTTAGTGTTTACAATTTGAATACAATATTTAATCTTGTTAAGTAAAATTTTCATTTTTGTGGAGCAGGTTTGGGGGAGGGAAGGTGGAAGGAAAATGGAAATGCACTTCTAGCTTTATTGTGAAATTTTGCGTGAATACTTATAACTACAAAATCAAATGCTAAGGTTTCAGTCATGCTTTTTCCTGCTACTCTGACCCTCTAACATGAGTTAAATTTTACAATTCCCAATACTCTGAATTTTTTGGTCTTTATCACACGTTTGTAACTAAATATAATGATCAGACTTCTTTAAAAGCCTTGAATGTATTATTTGCCCCCAAGTAGTACTTGTGTCAATTTTTGTCTGTCATATTAATATTTGTTGTTACTTACCAGCCTTATAGGGTTGTTGTTGGGATTAACTTGGATACTTCCAGAGTACTTTGGAAACACAGCGCTATATAATGGGGGAGGGATAGCTCTGTGGTTTGAGCATTGGCCTGCTAAACCCAGGGTTGTGAGCTCAATCCTTGAGGGGGCCATTTAGGGATTTGGGGCAAAAATTGGGGATTGGCCCTGCTTTGAGCAGGGGGTTGGACTAGATGACCTCCTGAGGTCCCTTCCAACCCTGATATTCTATGATAAGTACAAACAGTCTGCTGTGCCTAGTCAATAAGTTCCTATGCCTGCTTAGTACCGTTTAAAGTTCACTCCCACCCATGTGACCAAAAACTTAATTGTAAAATGTAACGTTCTGTATTGGAACTTCCTTGGTTGTAGAGTGAATTCAGACAGTTCTGGCAGTAGTCAGTAAAAACTCTTCTGTTGCATGGTTTATGTAAATTATTCTGCTGATTTGACAGTGTAATCTCTTTAGTGCTACAGATCTGCTTCTTAAAAAGTTTTGGCTTCTTACAACACAAACCCTGTATGTGATTTGACACTTGACTGACTAGTATGTAAAGGCCGTGTAACTTAATCCTGACTTTAAACTAACATACTTTTCAGAGGTGTCCCTCTTGAGGAAAATTTAGAGATGTAAAACTCGCCAGTCCCATTGAAAATAAGCTCGCCATTTATTTGTATTCACTGTGGGGGTTAATCCAGTATTCTACTTCAGTAAGTTTTTACTCCATTTACATTTCTTACACCAGATTATTATAGACATTAATCAACATTAGGCAAGAATTTAGTGCTTCAGCGTAGACTTTGATCTCAAGTGCCTAACAAATGTTTCTACTTCAGTTCCCGGTGGGTCGTATCCACAGACACTTGAAGACTCGCACTACGAGTCATGGGCGAGTTGGTGCTACTGCTGCAGTGTACAGTGCTGCAATTCTTGAGTATCTCACTGCTGAGGTAGGTTTTGAAGTAACCACTGTCAAAACTACGTTGCACGTGACAGAATAGAGGGATAGGTAGGTGGATATAATTCTGTTGATGTAATTTGTTAGGATAAATCAAGTTAAACAAATAGCAACAAACAGTTTCTCTCTCAAATTTTCTTCCAAATGTATGTGGTAGAAACTAAGCAGCATTCATTTAGATTTTAATATTGCCAATAGTTGGGGTTTTTTTCCTCCCGTTGGTTAAGCTGGGTGATATCTAATGCATTACTCTGTAAATGCAAAGAGTTGATTAAACTATTGGAAAATCTGTTTAGGCCCACGAAGTTTGGCTTCTTATTTTGTAAAAACCTAATAAACTTCATTTTAACACAAAGGATTTTTTTAACTTGATTGTGACCTGTTTGTGCAGATTTGTGATGTTGCATAGGAGCTTAAAAGTGAAACTGACTAAGTAGATCAGTCTAGTTCTCCATAAGCTATGTCAACTGCAAAAAATACACTGGATAATTGGTTAAAAGACAATTGGACCTTTAAATCTATAACTAATGGATGAAGGCCACTTATATTAAAGGCAAGCCATCCTAGGTATATCTTGTTTGTCCAGAACAGGTTTTTTTATTGTAACTAAACAGTGAGTGGGGGCCATGAACAAAGCATGTGTAGGCTATATTTGCAAGATGGGGGGCTGTATCCTGGGAAGTAATGACGCTGGAAGAAAATTGGAGGTCATGCTGGATAATCACTTGAACATGAGCTCCCAGTGTAACACTGGCCAAAAGGGCTAAAGCAGTTCAGAGACCAGGGACTCTCAAGGAGGGGTAGAGGTGGTTTTACCTCCGTACTTGGCACTGTGCTACTGCTGCTGGAATACTGTGTCCAGATCTGGCGTCCACAATTCAAGGAGTATGTTGATAAATGAGAGTTCCGATAAGACCTATGAGAATGATTAAAGGATTAGAAAACATGCTTTATAGTGACACACTTAAGGAGCTCAAACTATTTTAGTTTAACAAAGACGGTGAAGGGTTGAATTGATTACAGCCTGTAAGTACCTACGTGGGGAACAGATTTCATAATGGGCTCCTCCGTCTAGCAGACAACACAATCCAATGGCCGGAAGTTGAAGCTAGACAAATTCAGACTGGCAATAAGGCGTAAAATTTTAAGTAATCGCATTGGTCCCTTTTGGCCTTGGAATCAATGAATGGTTAGAGGAAGGAAGGTCCAGTGGCTACGGTGCTAGCTTAGGACTTGGGAGACCTGGATTCGATTCCCTGCTGTGCCACAAACTCCCTTTGTGATGTTGGTCAAATTGGTTAGTGTCTCTGTGCCTCAATTTCCCATCTGTAAAATGGGGATAGTAGCACTGCCCTACTGCACAGGGGTGTTGTAAGCATAATGAGGTACTCTCATACTGCAGTAATGGGCGTCATGTAAGTACCTAAGAGATTCATGATTTCATGTTCCAGTTGACCCCACATTTTGCTTTCTGTAAACTTTAACAGGTCTAACTCTTACTAAAATAGCCTCCTAATTTGTCAGGTGCTGGAGCTGGCAGGTAATGCCTCCAAGGATCTCAAAGTAAAGCGTATCACTCCTCGTCACTTGCAGCTTGCTATTCGTGGGGATGAAGAGTTGGATTCCCTTATTAAAGCTACCATTGCTGGTGGAGGTATGTATAGTTGGGCTTTGTAACTGATTGGGTTGATACAAAAGTGGACAGCCAACTGCAAGGAAGGTAACAGACAATAAGTTAAAGTCACTTTAATTTCTTCTGTCACACTACTTCACATAGATCAATAATGGCAGACATTCCGGCCAGATTTGTATCTGTTTCCATTTAAACATCATAGCAACTGAAATTTGGCAGTTTCCGAGAGAGAGGACTGGATGGGTCACTGAATTACTCTCTCCTTGTAGTGCATATTCTGAGGATAATCCACTCAGCACCTTCCATGAGCATTAAACTTAAAGTAGCTATAAATTGAGGGAAATCTGGGTGTTTCACTTTTATTAAAGATCCTGGGATTGCACCTTCTCTCTCCACCCTCCCTCTTTATAACCCTGACTACTGGAACTTTCCTTACAGATAGAACTGGGCTCTATGAGGTAGGTAGGAAGAGGACTAAGCTTCACAGAAGTGCTCTTCATATATTGTGTAATAACGATATTGAGTTCATTGTAATTCTATACTGGACAAAATAGCCTGCAGTAATTTGTGAGACTTAAATGAATGGTCTTACTTAACTCTTCTGTTGCTGCATCCATACCTTTGTGTTTTCCTTATGTGGATGTTCTGTTGAGATAAGTGGAATATTGGGATATACCTGGTGGCGTGCAGGGTACACATAGCTACGTGCTGCAGTGAAAAACAAGCTGCATCCACACTATACTGTGTAGCTACACACAGCCGTAAAAGGCTCTGCTTGGGAGAGGCAGTGAGGAGAGGCTTTGGCAGTGCAGAGCTTGCCAGAGCCTTTCGCTGCAGCAAGTAAAGGCAGTGGGGAGATGCCAGAGCCTTTCCTTGCTGCCTGAACTTTTCACTGCGATGGGGAAAGGCTCTGGCGGCAGGACAGTATGCTGCAGGAAAATAGCAGTGCAGATGTGGGAGGTACCACTTATGCACGTAGAGAGCCGTGTTGGATACGTCCTCTAGGGTTCTGGCGTACCTGTTCTCCCCATCTGCACTGCTGTTCTGCCTGTGCTAGCTGGGCGTGCAGTGTCTGCACTGCTCAAGCTGCAGACCTAGCCATAGTCAGCCTTAGCAGTAAGAAGAGGGCTACTTAATTATGTCTGTTTTATGTACCCTTACAACTTCCATTTTAGCTTTTACAGCTTAGAAATGGGCTGTTGGATCAACAAACCTACAATTGAAATGATAAGGTGGGATCCATTGGGGTGGGATGAAATTACAACTGGAGAATGTGCATTATTACCGGTTTCAGAGTAACAGCCCTGTTAGTCTGTATTCGCAAAAAGAAGAGGAGGACTTGTGGCATCTTAGAGACTAACCAATTTATTTGAGCATAAGCTTTCGTGAGCTACAGCTCACTTCATCGGATGCATACCGTGGAAACTGCAGAAGACATCGTATACACACAGAGACCATGAAACAATACCTCCTCCCAACCCACTCTCCTGCTGGTAATAGCTTATCTAAAGTGATCACTCTCCTTACAATATGTATGATAATCAAGTTGGGCTATTTCCAGCACAAATCCAGGTTTTCTCACCCTCCGCCCCCGGAGGGTATTCTAGTATAGGGGAATTCTAGTATAGTCAAAGAACAAGAAAATGTGGAAAACTTAGAGAACAGAACATTGAAAGCTTTCTAGCTATTCAGATAATGAACAAATCTTTGAACTAACAGAACTTACTCTGAAAAATGTCCTGTGCACCACTATTCTAATCCATTGTTCTCTTTGCAGGTGTAATCCCTCACATCCATAAGTCTCTGATTGGAAAGAAGGGACAGCAGAAAACTGCATAGAGAGGAGTTTTAACCAACCCTCTTCCTCCCTGTCATTGTACTGTAACTGGGACAGAAGAAATATGGGGATATGTGGAATTTTTTAAGAAATAGTTAAATGGAAGAGCATAGACAATTGACTGTAGACATGAGAAAACATTTGTATGTTCTTTAGATTCAAAGTTTGACAAAAAGTATCTTGTCATGTGGCAGCAATTCGTGTGTTGATTGGCTAGGTTTCTCCCGTGTGTTTTATACAAAAATGGAACTGATAAACCATTTTTTACAAAATTTGCTCTCATGTGGTGTTCAGGTGCAAAAATCATGTAGTAGAGACTTCACAACTTCTCTGAAGCTGGTTCCCTCAGACTCTACTGGACTAGGTGTACAGGCAGAAGTTCTTTCCCTCTTTCGATCAGCCACGTCCATGACTCCTTCACTTGGATGGTTTGTAATATAATTGGTTGAATGGCATGGGCAATTTTGGTAGCAAATGGGTAAACTTTTAATGGTGCAAAAAAAACGGAATTGGCCTATAGTGTAGGAATCATAGAATCATAGAATATCAGGGTTGGAAGGGACCCCAGAAGGTCATCTAGTCCAACCCCCTGCTCAAAGCAGGACCAATTCCCAGTTAAATCATCCCAGCCAGGGCTTTGTCAAGCCTGACCTTAAAAACCTCTAAGGAAGGAGATTCTACCACCTCCCTAGGTAATGCATTCCAGTGTTTCACCACCCTCTTAGTGAAAAGGTTTTTCCTAATATCCAATCTAAACCTCCCCCACTGCAACTTGAATCTATTTAATGGGAAATGCTATCGCTGTTAAAGTAGTGACAAAATAGATTTGCTACTTTAAATTTTAATTTACTTAATGTCGCTGAAAAATCATTCTCTCACTTACCTGCCAATATCTGAATTCAGGGTTCCAGGTGCCTTGCAAGAGCTGAGGACACCATAAGTTATCTAAAGGAAGAAACTATTTGACTTTGTTTCTGACAGCAGCTTTGCTATCGCTGCTGCTGACAGGTAAATGGAGGGGCTGACCTCAAAGCTAGAATGCATTTTCCATTTTTAAATATGCCTGTTGTCACTAGTAAGGATCACAGATACGTTTTCTATTCATTTAAAATGTCCAGTATGTGTGTGGATTAACACAATGCCCTAGAGACCTGTGATAACTCTTCATTTTTTATTTTTTTACAAAAGCTTACTTATTTTCTTAGCCATGAAGAACAGCTTATCATGGTAGTGGTGATTCTGCCCTGACCCACAAGTGATTTCAGCTGTCAGAATAGAAAGAGTAGAGTGGCAGCATCGCAAGCTACTTTCCAGTGTGCTGTGGATAAATCAGATGGGTGTCTGCCTCACTTCCCTTCTAAGCCTCAAAGCTGTTCCAGAGTAAAATCTTCATTTTGGTATTTGAATGTCCAGAGTTAAACAAATGTAGATTTAGATGTTGAAACACAATGCCTTAATTTTCACAAGTGTATCTAGAGCTCCCATTTTCTTTAGCCAAAAGTGCAGGTTGATCAGCCCCTGTTCAGAAGGGGTGTGGGGTGGGAGAGAATGTGGCCAGATTTCTCCTCCAGCCAAGGTGTTGATCATCTGCAGTTCTCACACAAGGCAATGGGAGTGAGATGTGCTCAGCACCTTTGAAATAAGTGATGTAGTTCAAGTGCTCAACTCTTGGTGCTCAACTTAATTTTGGCTAAAATGTTAGTTTCAAGCTGGGTCTTCTGAGCATCATTTCAGACCCTTCACCTGCAATCATTAGCTCTGGTAAGAGTACTGTAGGTCAGGAGACACTTGCCGTTAACAAAAGCTTCTGGTTAGGGAGACCGTTTTAAGATGTTCTTCCAACAGCCGGTACGATCTTTCCTTAAACCGTTTCTGAGCAAATGGTGAGGTGAAAACGGGACTGAAATCTGTTGCTGCTGCCTACTGCTTCAGAAATTAAATGAGCAAATTTTTTTGATAGTGTAAACTGTCATTTAACTAGTTTCTCATTTCCATCTCCTTATGGCTGCTTGAAAGCATCTGAGTCAGTCTTTCAGATTTCGTAGATTTTTTTTTTTTTTTTATAGCACAAATCCAACCTGGTGGTTGATGATGATGTTGGCACAATTCTGAGTCCACTTTTTGTAACTGCAGCAAAAATATTACGGATCTGGGCATTCATAAATGAGTCTCAATTCAGAAAGAGGTGGGGGTTTTTTGTTTTGTGTTTTTTTTTTTTTTTTTTTTACCCCACCAACTTATTTAGCAGTCATTCCCCAGGAGAATGAGTTTCAGTTATGAGAACTATCAGTGCACTGTCAGATCTGAGGAGAGACTTAATTTTGTGTTTGAATATGAAAGCAGCCAGGACTGTGGCAGAACAGCTTGGTGTGGTGAAATGTGCAGACTAGTGTTTCTTGTAACGCTGATCAGGCTGGTTTAACTATTTTCAGCCGGCTCTAGAATTGGCCTCTTTTCAAAGCTTTGAATCTGAAGAACTCTAAAGGTCCTATGTCTGCCATGCTTGTATAAACAGAAAATGCTATGTCAGGGTTCCCTCCCCACTCTGAACTTTAGGGTACAGATGTGGGGACCCACGTGAAAGACTCCCTAAGCTTAGGTTAAAAACTTCCCCAAGGCACAAATCCTTCCTTCTCCTTGGATGAGTACTGCTGCCACCACCAAGTGAGTTAGACAAAGTTTCAGGAAAAGGACCACTTGGAATTCCTGTTTCCCCAAAATATTCCCCCAAGCCTCTTCACCCCCGTTCCGGGGGAGGCTTGAGAATAACCTACCAACCAGATAGGTAAACAAGGTGAGCACAGACCAGACCCTTGGGTTTTTTGGACACTAAAACCCAATCAGATTCTTAAAAAACAGAACTTTATAATAAAGAAAAAAGGAAAAGAAGCACCTCTGTAAAATCAGGATGGAAGGTAGTTTTACAGGGTAGTAAGACTTAAAACACAGAGGATTCCCCCTAGGCAAAACTTTAAAATTATAAAAAACAGGGATAAACCTCCCTCTTAGCACAGGGAAAATTCACAAGCTAACGCATTCCTTGCTATTACATCTAATATTACAGCAATAGTAAGTATCATTTCAGTAGGAGCTGCTGGATTACTTGCTTGGTCTCTCTCTCTGTCTCAGAGAGAACACACACAGCACAAAAACAAAGCCTTTCTTCTCTCTTTCTTCCCCCCCCTTCCTTGGTCCTTTTGGTCAGGTGCCAACTAGGTTAATAGAACTGATTAACCCCTTACAGGTAAGGGGATTCTGTACCTCTGGCCAAGAGGGATTTTATATTACTGCATACAGAAAGGTTGTTACCCTTCCCTTTATACTTATGCCATGCCCCACAAATCATAGATGGTGTGGGACAGCCTGTTCCAAACTGGCTGTGATTTCTTCCTGGAGCTCTAGGAGAAAACAGAGTTAATAAGACACATGCACCTTTAGATATACTACTGACTATATAAAAACTAACCGTATTTTCCACATTTCAAGGTCAATTTTAAACAGTTGATTCTGGGAAACTTCCACGGGAGAGTGCATCAGCCAGTTTGTTAGGCGCTCCTGAAATGTGTTGTATTTCAAAATCAAAATCTTGCAGAGCTAAACTCCACTGAAGAAGTTTTTTGTTAGCATCCTTGATGGTCTGAAGCCACTGTAGCGCAGCATGGTCAGTTTGCAGGTGGAAATGCTGCCCCCAAACGTATGGGCGGTGATTGACCAGTGGCTTTCTCTCGGACAGTTTTTTGCTGAGAAACTCAACAGGACGGAATTCTTGATGCAGTCCTTCCTGCATTAAAACTGCTCCCATACCATGCTTGGATACATCTGTGCTTACTAGGAAAGGTTTGTCAAAGTCTGGGGCCCTTAGCACAGGGTCAGACATGAGTGTCGCTTGAAGCTGGTTAAAGGCCTTCTGACACTCTTCAGTCCACTAAACTGCATTTGGCTGTTTCTTTTTGGTTAGGTCTGTCAGTGGGGTGGTGATTTGGCTGTATTGCGGTACAAATCGCCTGTAGTATCCGGCCAAGCCTAAGAAGGATTGGACCTGTTTCTTTGACTTTGGGACAGGCCACTTTTGGATAGCATCCACTTTGGCCTGTAGGGGGTTGATAGTTCCTTGACCCACCTGGTGTCCAAGGTAAGTCACTCTGTTTAGGCCTATATGACAATTCTTAGCATTAACAGTTAATCCTGCCTCCTTTATGCGCTTGAAGACTTTTTGCAGATGCTTCAGGTGTTCTGCCCATGAATCAGAAAAGATGGCCACATCATCAAGGTAGGCAACTGCAGATTCTCCCAATCCTGCCAGGAGACTATCTACCAGTTTTTTTGGAAAGTGGTGGGTGCATTTCTCAGTCTGAAAGGGAGCACATTAAATTCATACAGCCCTACATGGGTGATGAGGGCTGACCTTTCCTTGGTGGATTCATCCAGTGGTACTTGCCAGTACCCCTTGGTTAAGTCTAAGGTAGAGATGAACTGGGCCTGTCCCTGTTTCTCCAATAGCTCATCTGTGCGTGGCATGGGATAGTTGTCTGGGCGAGCTAAAGCATTTAGCTTATGCTTTTGCATGGACTACCGTATCTCCCCGTCTGGTTTGGGAACTGTAACAACTGGAGATGCCCATGCACTGTTAAGAGGGGCAGATTACGCCCATCTGTAGCATGTCCTGGATCTCCTGTTCAATAGCAGTTTTGGCTTGAGGAGACACCCGGTAAGGTTGGGCTCTAATTGGGCAAGCATTACCTAAGTCAATGGAGTGGTATGCCCATTCAGTCCGTCTTGGGGTGGCTGAGAACATCAGCGTGAAGCTAGTGCACAGCTCCTTGATCTGCTGTCGCTGCATACGTTCGAGGGTCATTGAGAGGTTCACCTCTTCCAAGCCACCGTCACTTTTTCCTTCATAGTGGACACCTTCAGGCCACTCAGCATCCTCTCCTCCCTGGGCTGTAAACTGACACACCTTTAATTCTCTGGAATAAAAGGGCTTTAGAGAATTATCATGGTATACTTTCGGCTTTAGGGTTTGTTAGGGGGCTTTTTCCTTCACCCACTTACTTCCCTGGTCCTTCTCGAATGAACAGAGAGCAACAATACCCGAAGTCCAAAGGTGCAAACAATTTGATGTTTATTGGGGTGAACTTCCAGCAAGCATAATTCCAGTTTCCTTCCTTAGTGTCCCCCTTCCCAGCTCTGACACCACAGAGGCTTACCTGTGACCCTGTTCCCATTTTCCCCCTTTAGCTAAACATGATTCCAGTTTCCCCACCCCCATTCC